AGTTTACATTTCAGAAAGATAGTCTCAGCCAGTTACGCACAATTGTACAAACTGCATACAAACGCACAAAAATTTTAGGCAACTTTGAAAAAGTTCTGATAGATTCATTGCATACAATCTGCCCAACACTAAAACCACAGACACACAAAGTGAGCAACTAGCTGATTAATGTAGTTGAGTATTTAGCAGCTACAGTGGCAGATATTTCCCCCAGAAGTTGGTGGAGACCAAAATAGAGCTAACAGGAGACTGAATATTGGACTTACATTTGCCCAGAGGCCAGAAACACAACTTGCTGGATGTATAAATAAACACCTGTGTGCTAACACTTTCACCACAGTAACTTTATAAGGTTGGAAGATGATATGTCAGATTTATATTCACACCTTTTCATGATACGCACAAGTTACATTTACAGGAATTCTACTTAATTCAGCCATATAGTGCAATTAATGAACCAACTCTCTTGACAATACAGTTTAATTTCCAACCCAGATAAAACCTGATTACAGCAAAATGTATTTTATTAAATGTGGGGATATTAAAACAGTATCTCATATTGCTGGATGTGCCTGATAATGACAGCCTATGTGGTATAATGATGTTAAAGTCAACTGTAAACTCTTTCAAACTCATTATGCAAATTATTTAAAAATAGTCAACATTCAGTATCATGATAGCATGTTACGCCAACCACCCAGCACAGCTTGTTCTGCCGGTTAAATTACTTTGGGGACTACAGCAATAGTTCTTTGCGGTCGGTTTAACCACAGGCTTTTCTCATGTGAATCCATGCTAATGCACACCCTCTTCACAGAGCAGGCTCCATGTCAGTGGGGTCCATGCATTAAACATGGGGCGGTTGAGGGGAGAACATGTTGGAATACCAATAATTTTGCCATTGAAAATCTGCCTGAACCATGTTGCTGAATCAGGCAAACAAAGGCATGATAGGAAGTACAATGTTGAGGTTAAAAGAGAAAATTGCCATCTTCAGCCGTGCTGTTCCTGTTATTTCTTCTTTATCTTTGTATTTTACATAAAAACTTCAAATATGCATGTTAACACTGGGGCGAGATAGAGTATGCAGATTTGGTGTCAGCAGAGAACATAGACTTATTGGCAGTCTCTTCTCTCTTTCTGTTTTACGATGCATGTTTGATTTCAGAGGTCAAAGGTCTTGGAGAATGTTGTTGACTGTGTATTCTTGGTGACTCCTCCCAAAAGGGACTTATGAGCTTGTGTAACCTACTGTGGGCCACCCCCAGCCTGTGTTCTCCAACTTCCAAGAGTTATAACTGTAAATGTATTTAAGAGTATGTGACATAAGTATGGTATTAACTAAAACCAACATTCAAAGTGAAAGAGAGGGAGACTTTTTAACAGTGTGCACTGCAGAGTAAAAGATGCCGGCAACTGCAAGATGTAGGTGTCAGAAAAAAGTTAGTGATAGTGTAGTTCCTTAATTATATGCTGAATTATATGCTTATATATTGAAATATAATTTCTATGTATAAAAATTGGATTTTGATGCAAGGCCCCAAAACCTCAACAAAGAGCCACCTTAAGAAGGTTACCAGTTAAGTTTATATGAAGCCGTTCATCAAAGTACCACAAGGTAATAATTGCCACACATTGAAGATTTGGGGCTAAAGATTCTTATGGGCTCAAAAGTTGACAAAGCAAATTCACATTGCTCAAATGAAAAGATTCAACTCATCTTACGTGGCAACATAAACTCCAGTGTCATTCACCGGACCACCAAACCTTCCAGCCATCTTTCTACCTAAATTTGTTTGGGTTATCTCTTTATTGCTCCACAAACTACATGAAATATAATCATTAGATTTCACATACAAGATAATGCAATAAACGGCATTGAGGTAAATATTAGACTTTTGGACCTACAAAGTATTCATTGTTTCTATATAATAGTTTTCCTTCATTTAAACTACTCCTTTAGATACACTATACTTTCAATTTAAAGGGATGAGTGCTACAAGGCCATTTATGAGAATGGAGATCTTGAATGTCTAATTATTCAGAATTGCTTAAACCAGTTTAACACTGAGAATCAATAAATAAATTTTTTTTTTTTTGGTGTGTGTCTACAAATACCAGTATTTGGCGATGCCCAACCAGCTTTTATTACATTAAAAACACAGGGAACCCTTTATGTATTATTGACATGCTGTTTTACCTGTCTCCAGCAGAGGGTACTGTTCATGCACAATTACCATTTGAACGTGACCACATGTCTGATCCTCTCCACGTGGATTCAGGTGAAGTGATAATATGGGGAGAGCAGTCTTTGGGACTTCCCCAAGGTGTGCCCTGCAGAGGAAAAACAAAGGTAAGAACACGAGACAACAAACATGATGACAAATCATTTATTCCTATTTCCTGTTACTGAAAAATTCCCGTTAATAGCTTCGGTGAAATTTCAAAGGTGTGTCCTCAGGTTGATTAAAAGACGTTAACTTGTGCAATCTCTCATCACAACCACCATGTGCATAATTACAGTCACAAATATTCAGATAATGCACACACATCTCCCACCATATTAAGATCCCTGTTTTGTTTTGCCCTGGCAGGCCTGTCCTTGACCCCAGAAGGAAGGAGGGAAAGACAGGTTGTGTGTTTGCTTATATTTATATGCTCTTCCTTTTATCATTTCACTGAGGCTCAAATCTCCTCAGGACAATATTTTGATAAGGAAACGGGTTAATGAAAACAAAAAGACATGACCTAACTTTGACCAACTTATTATAAATCTAGGTTATTTCCAGACAAAGGCAGGGTTTAAGGCTGTGATTACACCAGGTTAGAATTAGGTTTAGTAAGGTGGACATTAATCTTAGGTTCATATTTGAGGTTAGATGTTAATATAATGCCTAAATTTTGTACATTTTAAGTTTAGAGATCATCTCAGCTGTATGTCTTCGTGTGTGTGTGTAGACCTTGAGCTTTCTGCCCTGATACCAGAGACAAATAGAGAGACAAACAAACCGGTGTCTGGTATCACTGCAACTCTGGTTTTGGTGGAAACGCAGCTGAAGACAACTGTGGTTTCGTTTTGCGTAATGCTGAGCATTATGAAAGTTCAGGGTAACTGTCACTGAACTGATGAACTGCTTATTGTTTTCACTCCAACTGAAACAAATCATAAGTCTGTTTGAACTTTTCTCCATTTTCTTTGAAAATAAAACCCTTTTTGCATTCATGCAAATTTCACCCAGTGGGATTAATAAAGTTCTTATCTTCAGACAACAAATTACTCAAGTAATTAAATAATTAATTAATTCATACTCCCTTTTACGCATTGCAAAATGTAAATGAAAATATTTTATACACATGGTTTTTAATTATACAAATGTGTTAATTAAAAATGCTAAAATTGCAAATAAAAGTATTTCCTAGAGTATTCCGTTAACTTTACAATAAAAATGATGATTAAAAGGAAACCGTATAATTTATGAAATAACTAGCTAATACATTTTCACTTTTGAATTATTCAAAGTTTTTGTATTTTTTGATACAATAAATTCTAAGCTCAATTGAATGCTTTTTTTCTGCAATAGCTTTACTTGGTCTGTTAGCCTTGCTGTTGGTTCATATTAGCTAACATTACTAACTTCAGATTATGGCTCTGCCCCGACATTACTAAGTAAATCTGCTGACCTAACTTGGAAATGCTCTATTTTACTAGTCCATAATTTCTGAATAATAAGTTTCCATAAAAAAAATTTGTAACTTGGTGCTAATTACAGGGAAATTAGCGTAGCCTATCCAAGAGTTTTTTGGTTACAGTGCACAGAAGGTCAGCTGAACATACAAAAATGTTGAATTTGTCTACAGGCAAACATACAATTCGGCAAATATGGAAAACAATGTTTTGATAAGAATTATTAATGAATTAAAAAAAAATTTAGATATAAAATGGTGTTTTCTCTTTCTGGTAACTGGAACCACATTACAAGGTTCACCATCATTAAATTACTCATAAATTACTGACCTGTAAAATACTTTTCTACTTGTGCTACTCTTGTATTATGTTTTGTCATTGACCATCATATAAACACATTTACTGCAAATATCAACTGACTATAAATAAAACAGAAGTGCAACCAATATTTACAGCAAGATTGTATTTACTGTAAACTGTGGGTCACACCCACACAGCCTTGACAGGTCATTAAAATCAGGAGACAGGTTAGTGATCTTCATTTGAACTGAATACACGTGTGTGATAGTATTAGCCATAATTACCCTGAGGTATATGCCTGACATTTGTACCATGTGACTGGACTCATCTGACCTGGCACCATGAGGCGGAGCGAACACAAAACAATGGCATGTAAGTGTGTCAACAACCTGTTGACGGAAAAGTCCAGTGAAATAAATATCCAGATTACATCCTGCACATGTGGTGTTGTGATTAATTAAGAGACCTTGAGAGGTGCTACTCAGTCCTACAAAGCCAACAGGACTTCCTTGAGGAAGAAAAAGAAAGAAGGGGGGAAACCACAGCTATACAGAGACTGTCAGTCAGATAAAATTAAAACAGTAAATGTCTGAGAATCACTCCCATTTCCCATGCTGCTATATGGAAAGGTTACACAGCCTGTCAGGGGAAATTAAATTCCTTGTGTCCTTGAATGCAGCTAAATGTCACAGGGGAGCAGATTCAAAAGATTAAGCTATGAAGTTATTTATAGAAATGGGGGAAATTTACCCATTTGGTATTTCACCAACTGCTGTAATTGTATTTCTTTATAGCTTCGTAGGAATGTAGACAGGAGAGGAGAAGAAAGGGAGAGAGGAGGGGTAAAGGAAAGGAGGAAGGAGGAGAGGAAAAATAAATGCAGTGATGTCAGTCCGTCCCACTCCCATTCAGTACAAATGCGACAAGAGCAGAGCTGAGCCTGCATACCACTGCTGCTGACGCCTGATCCCACACAAACACTCACACACAAAGGCACACACTCACATTCTCTCACGTCACACACTCATCATACCACACTCACACAAGCGCTGACTGAAACTCCAGACCAGTGCAGGGAGATGCTACCGGCTGGCAACCACTGAGTAAGTCCACTTTCTCTCCCCTTCTTTCTTCCCCTGTCTGTCTTTTGTTGCAATTGCCATTCTGCAGCCTGTCTAAGTTCATTTATCTCTCACACTCTCCTCTGTCGCTGTGAAGTGACCACTGTTTTCTCAGACTGAGAGACTTTTCAAACTTTTCTCTCAGTATGCCGTGCACAGACCTTTCCCTCCACTCGTTCCCTTTCTGTCTCTTCTCTGCATGTGAGCAGAGGCAGAGGCAAATCCCGGACTTATTTGCATGTTGGCGCAGAGCCAGAGCTGCATACTTTGTCTTTATATATGTGTGTGTATGTGTGTGTGTGTGTGTGAATTACAGAATGGTGGGATCCGTTATATGTTAATTTTGCCCTTGTGTGATGTTGATTTTCTGTGTGGTTTGTTATTGACTGTGATAAGTTTGCCGTGTTTGTCTCTTGATTTGAATATTTCTTTTGTGCTGCTGTGCCCAAGTTCAAATGTGTACAGTTAATTACAGGAGCTGTGATGTAGGACTGAGACGGTTCTTGTATAGAAAGCCTGAGCAGTTTGCCACAGAGTAGGTTGTTTACTAGCAAATCTTCTTGTCAGGTCCTGTTTACTTTCATTCCTTTCAGTCACAGACTCTCACAGGGCTTTACAGCTCCTGCATAATGAAAGAATGAATAAAAACACTTCCACTTTTATCTTTAGACAGTAGACACTCACATGGACAAGAATAATGGTCACAGAAACCTCACTGGGTAGTGAAAGAGATTTTAAGAAGTACTGCTCAGTTGATGAATGAATGGAAGCTGGTTTTAAGACTAATAACAAAACTAAGCTGTACATATATCTAAAAATTAAATGAATCGAGTCAACAGGAGGTTTAGTTTTTGGCTGGTTTTACTCTCAGAAGGAGAGTGAACTGAGAACCTGGTGGCTGTAGTTTTATCTTGTTACTGTTTCATAGATTTATGAGCTGCTGTGTTTTTAATACTAAAGCATATTTCATTGTAAGTATCCTTATAATATGTATTTAAACACTCCCTAAGATAGCTGGCTGCTAGCTCCAGCTTCATGTTAACTGGACAGACATAAGAGAGATATCATTCCACTCCTCTAACCCTCTGAAAGAAATAAACTTATTTCCCAGAAGCTCAAGCTATTCCTATTCTTCAGTTTTTCAGTTTTGTATTGTATTTAATATTTTTCACCAACACAAGCTTTAAGGTTTAATATAATTCTAGGGTTTGACTGTGGTGAACATGGCCACACCTGAAACACTAACTTACAAGCTGATATTTCTCCTCTGTGTGCTGCTTTACTGTAATACCAGACCACCCTCAGGTAGAGATTGGTGAACTGTTATCACAGACACAAACCCTATTGGCTCTCGCTCAGCAGCTCACTGTTTCAAATCTTTCCCTAATAAGTGTGTAGAGGGCGGAGGCTGCTTTTATGGAGCATGTTTACACACAGTTTAAGGTGAAGGTTGTTTTCTGGGATTTGGTCTTGATGACTTCCTGACTGAGTTTCTGTGTAAGTGGGATCGCTATCAGCCTCACGTGTGTTGATAAGGTGCTAAAAACAGTCGGAGTTGGTGTTTTATTTGTGTGTGTGACAGAGAGAGAGAGAGAGAGAGAGAGAAAGAGAAAGCTACTGTCAAGCCAAGTACAGCGTTCTTTTGCTCTGTCTGTGTCTGTTGCACCCAGATAGCATGCAGTCATTAACACCCCACCCTGTGTGTGTGTGTGTGTGTGTGTGTGTGTGTGTGTGTGTGTGTGTGTGTGTGTGCTGACATTCTGAACCTGCCCCTGTTTGCCTTTCAGTGTTTGAAAGCACAGCAGCATTCTCGCTGCCTACTGTATGCAGAGTAAACACTGCATGCATACACACACACATTACAGTTGGCATTTTGGCTTATTTGCTTAGGGTCTATTGTGTTCTTCCAGCCAGAACAGGATTGAATGGAGGAGAACAAAACAATACAGTAGATATAATCTCTCTCTCTCTCTCTCTCTCTCTCTCTCTCTCTCTCTCCCTCTCTCTCTCTCAAAACCACAGCAGCAACTTTCAGAGCCCAGTTGATCTGGAAACACTGCACCTTCACCTCCAGAGAGCCCGACACACTCCTGCTGCACAGAGGGAGTGCACTTGACAAAGGACACTTCAGTGACCTCCAGCAGTTAGACTGTACCTGATCCCACATCGTTCACAGAACAGGGAACCTGACTCTGAGTAGAGCAAGAAAAAAAGGGAGCGATCATACCCCACCGCTGAAACACGACCCACAGGACAGAGAGACAGAGGGGCTAACAGACGTCTCCGGCCACTGGGGAACAGAGGCAGGATGCTGGCTAAAATCCTTGAAGACATGTGGGTGGAACCGGAGGTGCTGGAGGCCCTCAGTGAGGAACAGAAGAGGATCCTGTTCCTGAAGATGAGAGAGGAGCAGGTACGCCGCTGGAGAGAGCGAGAGGAGAGGGAGCAGAGGGAAGGAGGAGTCAACAACAACACCAGGCCAAAGAAAGGTAGAGTGGTGTTTTTGAACTGGTTATACTGGCAAGACGCACTGCTACGTAGAATAAATATTTCTATATTCAGGATTTCCAGTGAAGCAAAAAGGAAACCACTGACTGACATAGGAACATGATTTGACAACACAAGATTTCTGGGAAGCTACTAGCTTCTCTAATTTCTGTACTGTACAACACCAGGGTGTCAAGACTAATTTGGCAATTCTGCACTGACAAAACTACAGACTGCAGTGTGTTTACAACGATCTGTGCACTGAAATAAGCATTTTTTTTAAATGTTAAACTAAGCTTTAATATCAGTTTGACTTTAAATATATTTAGACCTGTTGAAACACAGAGATCATCAGTCCTCAGTACTGTGTCTCCACATTTTTTGCTTTGAGTTTATATTCCACAGTTACACACAAATTAGCTACATGTGATGGGTTTTGAATCTTGGTTCTAAAGAATTAGTGTGGAGGCCTTAAAACAGCGTTATGGGTGATAATATAGTTGAGCAGTAAAATGAATGAATATAATCAAAGAATTTATTACATTTTAATCAAAGTTTTGAAGACGTTTTGGTGGCTAGTAACATTTTGTCAGGTATGGGTGGCACTGGAGGGATTTTAAAGGTCCCATATTGTATAAAGGTAGATTTCCATGTCTTTTTAGATCATAAATCAGGTCTAGGTTCTATATTAATACTGTGAAAGTATCAAAGCCTCAGTCGACAGAGAAAAGCACACAGCCTGTATTCAGAAACTGAGCCTTAAAACCAGCCGTCAGGACTTCTGGAACTTTGTGATGTTACAACAAAGCAGTCACCGCTCTCAGCCACGCCGCAAGCCCCGCCCACCTGGACCCACCATCCAAACCTGCAGGATTTGGTTTCTCTGAGTGTTTACCTGAAATCTCTTATATCTTTAATGGATCACTCAGAAACAGTCAGCCAATCAGAAGAAAGGCTCAGAGCCTCTGCTCTTCTGATTGGCTCACTGACCTGTTGTTACTAGAGCTCCAGAGAGAAGCCTGAGAGAGGAGATGTAAAACTACATTGAGATTGTTTTCGGTTAATTTAAGGCTTCAGTATTTGTTAAAATCCTGGCTACAGCTCTGTTTAGTCCTCATACAATTACCACACACTTTTAAAAAAAATCTATATGGAGACTAATTACAGTTTTTTTGTAACTATAATTAATCACTGTTACTACTACTGTATTTCTTTAACTTAATCAGTATGTCGTTGGCAGGCCCGTCTATAACTAATTAATGTTGATCAGAAAGCTTAGAATCTCTGAGTGCACATGAGTACAGAGACACAGTAGCTGTGTAGTAACACCCTCTCAGGTTACCAGTCTCATTAATGTGTTTCGATTACACCCAAACAAATATGGTCCAGAGGCTCTTCACTGCTCTGTCAGTGGCCCATGTCTCCCTCTGCTCCACCTTTCTGTCTTACTCATTTCATCCACCCGTCCTCCATTTACAGTGTTTATCTGACTTACTGAGACCCTATCAACTCCACCGGTCCCCCTGCACAATGAGAGAGTGTGTGTCCAATACTGTGTGTGTGTGTGTGTGTGTGTCTGTATCTGTGTCTGTGTGTGTGTATGTGTGCGTGCGTGTGTGTGTGTGAGACAAACAGCTTCTATCACTGCTAGTTGAATCATTCTACAGGCGTTGCCACGCTTTAAACCACATATTAAATTACCATCTTTGTTTACCCAATCTCTGCTATGTCACCTGAGAGGTGACTGAGTGTGTGTTGCCTGTGTGTTTGTGTTACACAACATACAGTCCAGTTAGGCGTCTTTCATTCTTTGTTCACTGTGCTGTTGTTGGGAACGTCAGACATGTGCAGACAGGCCTATAAATCACACTAACACACACTTGAACCAGTCCTGGTACTACAGATTTCCAGTATGTGGTTAATTTGTAGGTGTGGTAGTGATAAAGAAAGACGCCGCAGTCTAGAAACCGCCTGTGTGTCTTGTTATCACAGGTATAACTCAGTGAGGTGACTGTGGAAACATAAAGGTGTGTTGCACAGACAGACGATGACTTATGTCAGAAATGGTCTTTGGTCAGATGACGGACATCAGATTGAGACGTCCACACAATGTTCTCTTATGTGCTGTGTGACACTTCGCAAACACAAGTCATTCTCCAGAATATGAACAGGACAGAGCTGCTTTGTGTGAAATCTGTGAGGAGCTGATTGTTACAGTATCTGTTCATTCAGCCTTCAAATGGTGAATCTACTCTGAATCACACCGCTGCATGGCTGTATAAGACACTTGAATATTAAAATTGTAAAGCCACGCCCCTTTCATTGATGTCATGGCAGGTGTTTCACGTTTATCAGGTACTGCACTGTCATGGAAAACAACACAGCCTTTGTCACTCACTGGGGAGCAGGGTCTATTTTTGCCCTTTGTGTCATGATGAGATAAAAACTCTGTTTTTTTTCCTGGATGTAAATGTAATGGAACAAACGTATGTTTCGTTTGGAATTTATTTGTTTATATAATGACTGACGATTATATTGAAGATTAGATAACAAAAGAGATACATTGCAGAACATTATTACAGAATGTATTAATACCTGATTAATTACAAATTCAGATCAATTAAGTAAATATAAATTAGAAAGTGTCAATTCATGGTGGTATAATAGATATAAGGGAAAATAAAAGTGCTGCTCCTCAATTCAACTGATACACAGTGTATGTAAACTAAACATTGGCACAACAACATGTGGGCTGTGTCCAGTTCAGGCTTCAAAGAGAGTTTCTGTTAAGCTGACCCAGGTTAGTTTCATGTTGCCCTGCCTGGCCAGGAAGGAGGTTGTTTGTTCTTCACTGCCTTTCCCCTTCTGCAATGATTCTAAATGATTTGAAGACGCTTTATCAATATTCTGCCATGATTGATGTCTTGAATTATGCAGTGACACAATTTATATCAATGAAAACAGAGAAAAGAAAGAGAAATGACACAGAACTGGAGACAAAGAGTAGGAGAGAATGAGGGCAAATGATAAAGAGTTTAACAGTAATAGAGGACGAGGTCTGCTGCCATTGTGTGAGCTTTCCCAAGCCCTATACTTATAGGACAGCGCCACCTTCTGGATAGAAGTCAGAAGGACAATTTATTTGACAGCCTCTGCCATCAGAATCTCACTTCCAGCCTGACACTCTGGGATGAAAATATATCTCCTGTAATCTTACCCATTTTGTTTTTTCTTTTTTCCCCCTCCAGCTTCCAGTAAACATGTGAAGTGGCTGCTCGGTCGCGACGGAGACGTGAGCGTCAGTGTAATCGGAGAGGTGGACGAATTCAAGTCCTCCAAACTCCTCCAGAGCCTCATTAACAACAGGTAAACACAAACATATAAGGACATATTTCAAAATTTCACATGGTGTTAATGGCTGATTTAGGTTTGTTGGCCTTGACTTTACTATTTTACAGGTTATTATTATATATAACTGTGGTATGAAAGTAGACTCTCTTTCTTACTGTAGGAGTCAAAGCAGTCACTTTGTTGTGAGGCAGCAAATTGAAGAGCAGAATTTGTAGTTGAGGTTTTAACTATTTTATGTAAAGAAAAAATAGTAACAAGATAAAGACCGATTTGAAAAAAAACGTTTTTAAGTGTATTAAACATTAGACAATGGCAGTAAAGTTCCTCACGTCCACTGTTTCTTTTTATTCTTTTATAAATAAAATAGGTCATTCATGTGGTTTAATTTGTAAGATCATTTATTCTAAAATAAATTTGGTCCTGAACACTCCACGCTACCCGAACCAAACTAAATCAAGTAGTGATAAACCTGTGTCTTTCAAACAGTGAATAATGTTAGTCTATCAGGTGTTTATTGCTTTATTTTGAACATGACTTACAAGGATTTTTTATAAGAGCCTATTTATTAAATGTTGGACTGACATCCATTCTCCATGGTCAGCTCAGTTCATCAGCAATATGTCTGAACCAACACATTTGAACATCACATAGGTTTCTGCTACCTTAATGAAGCCCTCAGTCTGTTCAACAGATTACATAACTCCGGTTGGCTTTGATAAGATAAACAGGGAACTAAAGAGTTTCAGTCAGCGCGCCGTCTCCTCGTCCCAATTTGATTATAGAAATTATTTCCCAAATGACTAACTGGAGGATTAATTCAAAGGTTGGGACGTCTGTCTTTGGGAGTAAAAATGGACGTCTTTGTCTTCCAGACTCCACAGCGATAATATGAATGGCATCCAGACAGTGGACTTGCTGCCAGGAAGAGAGGCCCAGGAGCTTGGCTTTAAAGAAAAAATCCAGCTGCCCCTCACAGATGTTAGCGTGAGTTAATGTGTTTATATGTGGGTTTGAAGTTTATAAGGTAAAATGGTCTGAGTATTAGAGTCTTACCATCAAATTACATCCCACTTACATTCAGGATTACCCAGCTTCACCAAATGACCAGTCGTCTGAGGAGGACATGGACTCCTGCAGCGCAGATGACGACCTGAAGGACCCCGCGGAGGACAGCGACAGTGAATCAGGCAGCAGCTCAGACAATCCCAGCGACTGGGCTCCTCTCTACAGGCCCCATCTTAGTCGCCATGGCAACCAGCTGCCGCTCAAAGCCGCACTGTCAGACACACAGAGAAGCGACCCACAAGACAGAGGTGAGAAAACAAGAGAGGAAAGACGAGGTGGAGAGAAACCTGACTTTTCTGTTCTTGTGTTAAAATGCATGATAATCATGTAGTGATATATATCTGAAGATAGAAATACTACCACATTGTAAATATACGCTATTACAAGTAAAAGACTGTAATAGAAACAAAACATTTTTCAAAGAAAAGATAACGTAAACTTAAGGTAGAAAAAAAAGAAAAAAAAAGGTCAAACTTTATTCATTCATTGAAGTGTATATGTAACTTTAAAAACCAGAACACTGCCTACATACACAACCTCTTAAAACAAACAACAATAAAAGGTACTAAACTGTACATACACCAACAGCAGTAAATGTATTCTCTATGCAGAATATCCTCTTTAATTGTCCATGCGTTTTGTTTGTTGAATTTCAATCTCCTAAGTAAATAATGACAGTAGCGGTCAAGTAAATGTAGCAGAGTAAATAAATCCAAAATGTAGCAAAAATGGACATGCACAAGTAAAGTAAATACAAGACTAAAGAAAAAACCACTACTGCTGCCTGCTTACAGTTATGTTCTATTAAAAACTATGGATCTCCAAAGTTTGACTTTTTATGATAAACTGAAAGATGAAATGTCTTATGTGAGTTGAGGGTTTAAAAAAACCATTGGATTATCTGGAAAATACATTGCAAGCTTGAAAAGGAGTCCGTCCACTAAAGAGATCTTCACTTTCTTCCTCTCTTTCCCTCTCAGAGATCATGTGCTGTGAGGAGAAAAAGTCAGAATACAGAGGTCGTGTAGCGCAGCTCAGGAAGGCATTCACAGATGATCCTCACAGAACAACACCTGCCTACACCAAACCTCCTCTTCCTGCCAAACCTGCTCACCTACAGAAAAGAAGCACAGCCTTGAGCCATTAGGACTCCAGGTGCATCCACCTTGATGCAAGATAACACTTGACCCCAAAACGGCAGAGCCATGTCATACTGAGTGTAAGGACGCCTGTGCAGAAGTAATGGCTCAGTTACACACTGTTGGACCAGGCTGCAGCCACATACATGTGAAGAAGAAGAAGGTCCTTACTTGAACCTGAGCAGTGAACTGAGATACACTTTGTTAGGCATCAATTGAAGGACCAACCCACAGACAGAGAAACGTCTGGGGGGTGGAGTGAGAGAAAGACTTGAAAAGCTTTTAAACCAAAGTCAACCTGAATGATAAAATGATGCAGCTTTGATGTTACTGAGTTCAAATACGCTCACATAGCTTTTGTGATTGACAGGCAGACGCAGAGCGAGAAGTCCAGACACACACACACACACACACACACACACACACACACACACACAGACTATTGGCCACAGCTGAAAAGAACACTTCTGAAATGAGTGTGAATGAAGTTTTATTACTAAAATGTCATAAGCAGGGATTATTGGGAACTGAGACATGACTTTGATAAAATCATATCATTTCTTCTATATTGTTTAAAAGGTTGTAATTGTTTTATATTTAATCCATGTACCTTGTCATTGTAGTGTTTTAACACCACTGACTTACACCAACTCACTGCAACTCTATTTTTGTGCTAATTAGCAATTGTTAGCATGCTAACACAGATGGTGAACATGGCAGAAATTATACCTGCAAAACATCAACATGTTAGCATTGTCACTGTAAGCCTGTTAGCATGTTTACATTAGCATTTAGCTCAATGCATCAAGAACAAAAACCTGCCTCACAGAGCTGCAGGCGTGATGGTAGCCCTAAAGGAACAAAAATGGTTGAATAAAGTAGGATACATTTTAATTTGACCTTGCAGATTTGTTGTTGACCTTAGAAATATAAATTTGACAAAAAAATTCTTATGTACAGACACATACATACATCACCTTAATGTTTTCCCTGATCACGGGACTGAATACTTGTTAACACAAACCATTTCCATGACAATTAGGCAAACTCCAACCATTAATGAAGGCCAGAATGTGTGGCTGAAAGCACTGGAAACCAAGCAAGTGGACTTTGTGTTGAACATTTTCGGTCAAAAGTCATATTTAATTTTTGGTTGCAAATTCTTTGAAGTCAATTTCAGTCATTTCTGAAGTCAACGGCCCACACACACTAACAGACACTTCCATTGTTAGCATCTTCAAGTCTTGCTTCTTCAGTCTGATCTTCAGCAAATGAATCACATGATCACCGGGGCTGAGGTCAGCTGACAGGGCATGGTCAGGTGACTGACTTGGCTATAGGCAAGAGAGATGAACTTTTCTGGCCCTCAAGACTTACTATAACTGATCTGCATAGTCATGAAATTGGAGGGACTGCGTATAAATCGAGCGCCAGTTACTATTCTGGTCCGCCAATTTGGATTTTAACACCCTCATACACTCCTTCAGCTCTGAGTCAGCACTTTAACCCCATGGTCATTGTTTCATTTCAGTGGTGTGTTGGAGTACAGATCTAAAACAATGAAAAATCTGTCCCTGGAAAAGATATTTATAGACTCGACTGTAGGTTTAAAGTCACATCAGATGCAACAAACTGCAGAAAACAAAGAACATGTGTTACCATGAGAGAGTGCTTCATTTTTAAGGTTTGGGGTGGTTGAGCTGTAGTTACTACCTAACTATTTGGTCACATGTTCCCTTTACTTGGTCACTAATTCCTTGCTAAAACTCTTCTCCTGCTGACACTTTGACTTTTGTATTTTACCTTCTATTTGTATTTGTATTTTATATTTACCTAATGGGTTTATATGTCCATATGTTGGTGTGAAAAAGAACAAATTATTGAAAGTGAAAGAGTGGTCTTATTTTGTTTTTGTATTTAACAAAGTTGTGTCTGTTCACAGCATGCATTCAGTAGGGCTAGGTGGGGTTGCTGACAGGGGTAAACACAGGGAAGTTGTTGATAGTGATCACTTGCACAATGATTATCTATTCAGTCGGATGCATCAGAAAACAGCCCATCAGAGATCAAACACAGAGCACAGAAAGCTGATTAGCATGTGGTTTAGACTGAGACAGAGGGCGAGACGCATGGGGAGACAGAGCAAATGGGAGTCAGGTCACGGGAAGCAACACGTCACAGTCAACTCAATAAACCTCTTCGCATTCCCTCACCACCTCCACACCCTCGGCCTCTGTGTATGCGCTGCTGTATGTGAGTGAGGAGTGTGTGCGTGTTTGTGTGTCTGTCCACCCATATATCTTGAATCATGTGACTTGACACGAGCAGTCATGCACACAGTGTGAAAAGCTCCGCTAAATATAGTAGGACAGTGTTGGGTTTCTCAGCAAAGCATTGTAGGAGTCTGTTCATCTTTGTCCCATAAGAAAGTGCATGTCATTGACTTCGAATGTTTCTATCGTCTGATGGTGTCTAGAGTCTACTGGTGCTCCTGTTTATTTCCTATCCAGCCTTGGAGGTGAAATTAGGACATGAGAAGCTCTCCATGTGTTGACTAAGAGCCTGTATGATAGTAAACTTCAAAGATTTTACCAAGGAGGATTAGATATGTGTGTGACCGTTTCCTTTGGAACAATAAACCATACCTTATCTGATTTTATGAATGAAGTCGTTGTGAAGAGATATACTGAGTCAGGAGATCAGGCAGTCAGTTAACGGCTTGTGCTTGCTGTATAATAACACTTCAGTAGTGGCTTCATTAGATTTGGCACTAAAGGGCAATGGTTTTCTAATTTGTAACCTCAATGTTTGTTAATTAATGTGTAAAACCTCAGGTTATAACTAAGCAGTTTAGCAAGGAAATTTGATTCAAGTCAGGATTTCCGTATTTGGCTACAAAATGTGGATCATGTGCAACCTCTGAACATTAAAAACAATAACTTTTAATAGTATTCACTGTCAAATGAATAAAACATTTATAATAAACCCCTGCATACCTCTAAACATAACAGGGTTACAAACTACAAAGTTAATTTTGTATTTAAAATATGTTGTTTTCCCCCAGTCCAGTCTGACAAAAAGGTGAGAGTGAAATACATTATGTTTTATGTTTAATATGTACAAAAAAAGAGTCACACTGTTCAGACATAACCTGGGTTTTTTAAAGCAAAAACATGACCAACCTCACCCTGACCCCAACCAACATAACTCAACATAACTCAAAGGGATTTATGTGTGTGAGGGAGATGTAAGTGTAAAAAAGGCTGAGATAAGCTATTTGACTTGGACTTTTTGGTCCCAGCTCCAAAAAAATACTACATTTTCCTGCCTGGTAAACACCCACATATTTAAAAAAAAAACTCTGCTCCCTCTATAAAAAATGTATAGTCTTGATGACATTATCAGTGTTGACAAAACTACTCCGGAGACTCGGAGGTCATACAGCTGTTTTCAGAGGCTGAAAACTCATGACCAGTAAACTGACTTTTATGATTACACCCAGAAAACTAAACATAACTTTTAACAAATGACATAGCATTAATTTTGCAAAGCTGTACTTTATGTTTCATGCCAATTAGCTAATATTAGCATGTTAATGCAGAAAACTAAGATGGTGATCATGGTAAACATTATTCCTGTTTAGCATCACCATGCTAGCTTTGTCATTGCAAAGATGTTAGCATGCTCACATTAGCATTTAGCTCTAAGCACTGCTATACCTACACAGCCTCTCAGAGCCAGTAGCATGGCTGTAGTCCCTTAATAATATCCCAGTCTGAGCAGTTAGGATCAGTAGCTGTACTGGGATCTGAGTAGAGGATTAGCTCAGTGTCAGTAAACTCTCCTATAGGATATTTAAAATGATATTTATATTATTGTGTGAAAATGCTATCCCTATGCTTTTCTAAGTAGCCTTCATTGTGAATCTGGATACAACCATTACAGCTGTTTTTTTTATGTTTTTGAGATTGTTAGGCAAATGAATATTGTATGATATTTCTCAATTGGCTAGTCATTGCTGCAATTCCATATCATTGATCATAATTTACTCATAATTTATTTGAATATTTAAAGTCATGAAAATCTAAGTTCAAGACCTCATGTTACTGACATTAGAGCTCAATCATGATGTGCCGCTCTGATATAAAGGTGGGAATCATGCAAAGTGAGCAGTGCAAGTGGCCTCCAACTCAATACTGGATGGCAACAAGCAATTCCACATCATGAGGTGCTCTGAAAAGAAGCCATGATGAAATATCACTGCAGGCAGACAGACTTTATCAGTGTGCTTTGCCTAACTTCCTGGAACCACTGTGCCTTTTTTGAGATCAGCAGCAAGCTAAAGATTAACAGAGTTTTGTGTACACATTACCTCCAAAAACACCATGTGAACCCACCTGAGGATCAAAATGTGTGAATGTCTTCAGGACCCATTTTATGACTATGCTGCATGTGGTTAGGCTGATAGCAATTCATGACTCATTTTTAATTAGACAGACAGTCTTAGTTACATGTGTCATCTTAATGCTATTTAATGGTTTTTGTGCTTGTTGTTCATTGGTAGCGTGAGACCGAACCAGAAGTGGATGAAGCTGTTTTTAGAAGTCCTTTAACAGCTTTAAGGGTCAAAGGTCAAGAGTCCCCCTCGACCCCAATGTCACCAAAATATAACCTGAGGGCAGATGAGCCTGAGCTTTTCAAGGATGTAAGAAACTATTGTGTTTCTGTTTGGGACTAGCATGTTTTCCATGTCTATAAAAGTGAACACAAATGGATAACAGAGACGTAATGAGGAGTGATCTCAGAAAGATGCTGTTTCTGCAAAGCTGTTAGAGATTTTCTAACACTGGGGATACCGCCAATGGAAGGAGAAAAAATTCACAATGAGACACAGTGTCTCCAAGCAGACGCAGTGGCCAAAATTTCAAAGGTCTGGCTCGTGAGTGAGGGTCCGCCCAGCTCCAGTGCAGGTTGCCTTGGGCTGGCAGGTTGTTCCACTGCAGTGTGTGTGAAAGGAGTTTTTCTCCAGAGTGGGCAGGGCCGCTGGTGCTGTAACATATGTAAGCTCCACAGGGGTCTGTGACGGCGCACACCGGCTATCTGGACAATGCATCCGTCATTAACCCCGGTCTCCCTGCGTCTCTGTCTTGCTGCATTTCAGTCAACCTCCGTCACTCCGCTCGCTGGATCTCGCACTCATCTCTCCTTCCCTCTTTGTTTGGCCCACATTATCTTCATCCCCTGCTGTCCATCTCCCCGTCCTCCTCCCTGCATATCTCTCTCTTTCTCTTTTCTCTCCCCCTGTGGCCTGCTTTTCATCTCTCCCAGTTTCACCCACTCTCTCTTACCCCCATTACACCCCCCCCTTCCTCCCTTTTCCCTCTCTGCCCTTCACCCCCCCCACCCCGGATTCGCTTTCCACCC